CTGATCACCTTAGCCTCTGAAGACTTGATCTACTACAGCCTACGACCTACGACCTACGACCACGACCCCAGTGTACTGTTTAAACGTCAATCCCCAACTTCTGTTAGCAGACCCTACTGTCGGATAGCTGACCGTAACACATGCCTATCGCTCTGCCTTGCGCGTCGAACATAGTCAGTTCTATCGTCGGGTTCAAATTTCGAATACCCTGTATCTCTGTAATAACTTCTGCTTCCGAACATTCTTTGGCGAGCACCCATTGTCCTTCTCGGGGCGTTAAAATCTGGATTGTCGGCTCTGAAATCAACGTCAGCTGCTTTTTAAAGGGCGACCTATCAATCAGTTGGTCGTCGGAAGCAACTCTCTTTGTCGCCGAAGGAGTCCCGCTGTCTCCCGTTACCTCCTGTTCTTTAGTGCTGGAAGTTGGTATAATGCTAGTCTCGCCGACTCTAATCAAGGCCCCAGATTCTAGGGGTTGACTTGGCGCACCCAGTCGCTCGCTGAGTTGCGAGCGCCCGTTCTCAGCACTTGTGCCAGGCGGGTAAACGCTGTTTACCATTTGTGTGTCTTCGGCTTGTTGCGTTGCGAGTATGATCTGCGCCTGGGAAGTGTTATCTGCTGATTGAACTTCTGTATCCAAGTGCATGTTGTCTGCCTTGTTACGTTCCTTCTCGATCTCCATTCTACTAGTATCTGAAATGTTGAGGTTCTCCTGCAGATCGTTTCGACTCGTATTGGGGTTATTTTGGCCAGACTGTTCTGGATCGTCTAGACTGAAAAACGCTCTGATCACGGATTGTCGCACAAATAGAGACGTGATATCATTGTTTTTCTGAGGCAAGCTTTGAATAATGGACAGCTGCAGATGCTGGCTGTCCAGATCATAAGATGCAGAGAACTGCCTACCGCAGCGACGCGCCAGAAGCTCACCCAAGCCAGGCGTTGTCATTGTAGGGATTGAGCTCGAATTATGATACGGCCGTGCAGATTTATACATCTGCTTCAAAGCCTGCACAAAGGTATCGAACTCTTGAGGGTCGTATGTGAAATAAGAAGGATTCCTGGCTGATAACAAAGAGTAACGAGCATGCTCCTCATCGGGATCCGATCGTAGAATGGCGTCTATTTGCAGCGAATTGAATCCCAGAGCTTGCGCCTTAATCGCAAGCTCGTGTCATTTTCTTGGATCTTCAGGCTTTGGCTGTATCTGACGGTGGTTTTGCTCGACCAACGGTGTGTCTTCGGAGAGTTCGAAGACATTCCTCATGATGTGTAGGTATAACTGCAAGAACTGCTGGGCGAATGATGTCTGTGGCATGTCATTTCGCTCCTTGAAGGCGTAATGCGCAGCTTGTCGGACGGTGTTGAATGGCTGCGAAGGCATGAATAGTCTCTTCATCACAAGTGCACAAGGACGTAGATATTTGAAGTCGAGACGAAAAGTGTAAAGCGACGGGATAAGCTCATTGACCCGCCTTAAGTTGTCTAGTAGCTGCGGCTTTTCGTTCTTTGGGAATTGACTGAATATAAGACCTTGTCGGAGAGCACCGGTTATAAAGTCGTCGTCTTGTTGGGATAAGCCAGGAACTCGTAGTTCGATGTGTTTTACAGTGGCATGATCTACGAATTTGAGTAGGGACTTGGAGCCGACGATGGCAAGGTATACTTTGCAGATGTTGCTCAGGTATTGAACCAGTTCCTAAGGTTATGCGTAAGTACCTGGAAGTCATACACGCGGCTCTACGCACCTCGTCACTCATTATTGCAAGCATCTTGTGCAAAACTCCTATATTGAACCCATCGCTATCTTCCCAAAGACCTGGAATGCCATGAAGCGCATAGAGTGCCTGGCTTATGGCGCGGCGCTTCAGCACACGGCCAAGTATTGCACGCTTGCTTGAAGTAAGCCTCGAGAGCCAACGTCTCTTGCCAGCGTCGTCACCCATAACCTCCCGTTCCTGGATCTCCTTGAACACATGGCCGTCGGAAAAGCACGACGCATTTTCGAACTCATTCCTCAGAGCGTGGCAAGCCGCCGCCGATATGTCTTGCTAAATTAGCGTCCGAGTATGGCCTTAATAGTGAGTGGACTCACCGTCATCATACAGCTCCACCGACCACCAGGTGGAATTTCCGGACCGCTTGGCAGCCTCAACCCGATGCAGACCCTGAAGGGCTATGATCCTAACATTTATCGGCAGACGGAGAAGTGGCGGCTCCCTTGCACTTTGGGATGAATCGCCTAGTATGATCGAAGAGGCCCCTGCGACATGTTCGAGATCCTTCCGGGACACCTTTGCTGGAAGATAATTCCGACGCTCCAATGGCCGGCACCCCTCTAGCCTGTAAATTTCCTGCATTCGTTGCACTTTCTTCTCAACCGGCAATCGCTCACGCAATGTCGTCGCATTGGCGAAGTCATCTTGTTCTGGAAAAACCAAGTTTTCGACAGGAACACGGGCAGTCCCGATGAAGCTAGAAAATACTCCGAGTTCCATGATGAGTTGGTGCTTACGGGGTAGAAGTCCTCACTTGGCATGGGAGCTCTGTCACTGTGGGTGCTCACTTTTAGGAGTCTTGCGGGGGCCAATTTTGGACCAGTGCCCGCCAAAACTGGACCGCGTTTACCATGTGCGTAGCACCCGCCTTGCCTAATTTTCACGCAGGAGCACCGGTCGCGGTAAGGGTTCTGAAGCCACCTCACAGCCTCATCTTCGTCTTGGGAGCCGGGCGATAAGGCAATCCATCTGACACCGACCCCGCTTCTGTTCAGTCGTGAGTGGCAGGCATTCGTCATCTTTGTCCACTTCGCACCACTTACATCGCCTAACGTGCCAATAACAGCACCGCCATGCCATGCAAGAACAGGTCATCGCTGCAATGGGATGCCCTTATTGGTTCGCGGGCTTCACTTCGAGAGGCATTGTCGGCCGCTCTTCACCAATCAACCAGCAGCACAGCCCTCCAAACACCTCAATCCTGTCTTTGAACTAGCGCCAGCCTGATCATGTCCGAGGTACATCAAATACTTGAAACCCCCATCTCCGCTCGGCGTTCTTTTGCATGTCTTTCTGCTATCTCCAACGCTCTCTTTGTTATACCCTTCAGTTGTCCTCCCCCAAATATCGATCATGTCTGATCCCAAAGCCTACACCGTCGCTTGGATATGTGCTGTCACTGCCGAGTCTGTCGCTGCCCGAGCCTTCCTTGACGAGGATTATGGACCGCCACAACAGGTAGCCAGACACGACAATAATAGCTATGTTTTGAGCAGCATCGGCAGCCATAACGTTGTCATTGCGGCCTTGCCCGATGGGGAATATGGCACGAACTCGGCAGCTGCGGTAGCCAGGGATTTGGTCCATAGCTTTCCGAATGTGCGCATCGGGCTGATGGTTGGTATTGGAGGTGGCGCGCCTAGCCGGAAGCGTGACATTAGACTCGGCGATATTGTCGTCAGTAAACCAGGCGGCGGACATGGCGGGGTATTCCAGTACGACTCTGGCAAAACCTTTCAGAATGGCTCGTTCCAGGAGACCAGTTTCTTGAATCAGCCACCGGTGTTGCTGCGAACGGCTGTTGCTAACCTCAGGGCTACATACGAAATGAAGGGTCATCAGCTTGTTAAAGACGTGAACAAGAACCTGGAGAAGATCAAGAAGCGAAGCAAATATAAACAACCTAGCCCGACTAGCGACAGGCTGTATAAGTCTCATATTGTACATCCTTTGAACTCATCCGACGGATGCGACATCGCATGTGGCAACGATACTGCCTGTCTCATAGACCGACCCGAACGAGACGAAGAGGACGATGATCCGGCTATCCATTACGGCTTGATTGCTAGTGGGAATCAACTGATGAAGGACGCCTATATCCGGGATAAGTTAGCCGCAGAAAGGGATGTTCTCTGCTTTGAGATGGAGGCGGCTGGTCTAATGAATCACTTTCCCTGTCTGGTCATCCGAGGAATTTGCGACTATTCCGACTCGCACAAGAACAAGGCGTGGCAAGGCTTTGCGGCGATGATAGCTGCAGCGTATGCAAGGGATCTTCTACGTCAAATTGCACCAGACAGCGTAGAAGCTGAGAAACAAATTCGCGAAGTGCTTGATTCCAGTTAGTATTGCACACTCAGTTCACCTGGTAACTACTGTCTAATAATGAGTAGTTCACGAAGATGTGCAGCGATTGGAAAAGACGGCGGATGAAACAAAAACTGGAGTCATGACTATACAGTCCCACCAAATAGATCACACGTACGAGCAACCTGCGCACCTACCCAGAAGCGCCTGCTAATTCTTTAGCCATCGTCTTATTCACATCGAACAGGGTGTACAAGATCTCAGGCTCAGCAAAGCCGAAGATCTATCTACCACTCGCAACCCTCATTTCGTTGTACCGTTTCCTTCCGATCCCGATTTTGTGAACCGGCCCGACATCTGGACATGGATTGAAGAGCAGTATGCGGGACCTAATAGCCGCTTCGCTCTTGTGGGCATGGGTGGATTCGGGTGCGTCTCAACAGCTGTACTCAAAAGCCCCCACTAACAGAGGCGCAGCAAATCCCAGATGGCCATCCATTTCGCTCACAAACTACACGCCACCTCACCCAAAACCAGTATCTTCTGGGTCAACGCCAATACGAAAGCGACATTTGAAGAATCCTACAGGTCTATAGCAGACATCCTGGCGCTTCCCCGTCGCCACGATCCTGACATCAATATCCTAGCGCTAGTCCGCAAGTGGCTGCAGCGAGAGGACGTAAGCCCGTGGCTCATGATTATCGACAACGCAGATGATGTTAGGATGCTATTCGCCAAGGATGGCATTGAAACGTACCTATCGTATCTTCCTAAGAGAACCAAGAGCAAGACTCTCGTTACGTCGCGCAGCCGGGACGCTGCAGAGAGGTTAACGGGTAACGTCAAGATGGTCTACACAGTCCCAACAATGGAGAAAGAACAGGCTCTACAGCTTCTAAAAAGGAAACTAGGCCGTGATATCAACGAGGCTGCAGCATTACGCCTTATACGCACCCTTGAGTATATCCCTCTCGCCGTAAACCAGGCAGCGGCGTACATTCACAGACGAAGTCCTCGAGTGACCGTCGAGTCATACTTAGAGGAATTCCACAGCACCGAACAGCGAAAGGGCACCCTACTTCGCAGCGATAGAGGGGATATCCAACGTTATGAAGGCGTATCTAATTCCGTCGTGGTGACATGGCAGGTGACGTTTGAGCAGATCAAACGGGAGCAGCCCAGGGCAGCCAACCTTCTTTCGCTGATGAGCTACTTTCAGGCGCAAAACATCCCCGAGTATATGCTGCATAACTATAGCAGTGGCAACATAGTTTCTGAAGAGAGCGACGACGAGCATGGTGAAACCAGTAGCGACGATTTTGAGGATGACTTGGATATGCTCCGGGGCTACTCACTCGTTACTATGACAGCTATGCCGGGTTTCTTGGAGATGCACTCCCTAGCGCAGTTTTGCACTAAAGTTTGGATCTCAGAATATGGTTTCCCTGACCAATGGAAGACACTCTTTCTTCAATCGGCCTCACAACACTTCCCATCGGGTGTATTTGAAACGTGGCAGCAGTGTCAAACGCTGATGCCGCATATACAGCCCTTATTGGACAAACCGCCTTTGGAAGAATGCGGCCGGCTGGAATGGAGCGAGTTACTGACAAATGTGTCTTGGTACTTGGTGATGCTTGGCAACTATTTCAGGGCGGAGGTAATAGTGCAACAGGCTGTGAGCACTCGGACGGAAACTTTAGGGGAGGAGCATCCCTCGACGCTGACGAGCATGGCTAACCTCGCGTCGACGTACAGGAACCAAGGCCGATGGAAAGAGGCCGAGGAGCTGGAGGTGCGGGTGATGGAGACGAGGAAGAGGGTGCTTGGAGAGGAGCATCCCAACACGCTGACTAGCATGCACAATCTGGTCTTCACTTGGAAAGATCTGGAACGATGGAAAGATGCAACGCAACTGCTGCAGGAATGTGTCCGCCTGACAGAGAACGTTCTCGGTGTTGATCATACAGACACCATATCTTCCAGCTCAGCTCTGTCAGACTGGAGAGTAGAGTTGAGCAAGAGCGGGCATGCGTGATAAAGACACCTTCAATCATAAAACGCTTCTACTTGATTCTGCTCATACAGTGGCTAACGAAAAGGGCTTCATCCTGAGCAACTCTCTAGTCTCTTTCCGCACGGACATTTTGGCTTGTTGGCGCTTAGCACAGTAGGCATTCTTATCTTATCAACCCCGCTACAACCTGTAAGCTCCTTAATGAGCTACCCAGATTACGACGAGCATGGGGTTCGCTGTGCATCAGGTTATGCAGGCCTATGTATACTACAATGAGTTTCATTGCTCTAAGCATAAAGCAAATTATGAACGCAACTTATACTATAAAAACGACGATGTATCATCGCCCACCTTACCATACATATGTCCCAAAAGCATCTTAAGCCTCAGCTCCCAAAGTTTATCTACGTACGTTTCAACTTTTCTTTCCAATTCTTCCACTTATATCTCAGGTTATGACCAGTAGCCACGCGAGGCGGCGGAACCGAATCTTGCCTTGGAAGCTGTAATCTGTGAATCTGATCAGACAAGCAAATGCACCGTTCATTTTCAGAGCCGAATACATCAGCGATGCCCGTCCTAGCGCGATCATAGTGCTCGAGAGCTCTATCTGTAGCACCCAGTCGCTCAAATAGACGGCCAAGATTTTCCAGGGCATTAAGGGCAGGAACATATGTTCTCAGCGTATCTGGGTGCAACACCTTCTCGTAGCCTTGAAGAGCCCGTTGATACATGCCCTCAGCCTCTTTGAGTCGGCCCTGGTCAGAGTAGAGGATACCTAATTTGTGGAATATCCACGCATTGTCTTCCAAAACGACACCTGTATCGAATATCTTAATGCATCGATCGGCATGTTGCAAGAGTCGTCGCTGCACTATCCAATATTTATCTTGTTCTCGATTGGGGACGCGCGAGGCTATACATCGAATTGCAGTCCATGCCAGCGCTTGACTTCGTTCGGTATTGATCACATGGATCGTCCATGCATGAACACAACCATGCATGCTGTATCCTTGTGATTCTGATCCCGGTTCACTCACAGCGGCGTTCGGTTCTACCAGCCCATGTTCACAGAGTACTCTCACTACTTTGTCAAAGTTTAGTCTGTCCTCCATCATCTTATGTAGCCAAAGCGGCTTCTCCGACTCCCCTGCCCGCAGCAGTTCGTACCATAAATCATGATTGTCGAAATATGCCCACAGTTGGAGGAGATTGGAAGCATGCTGATTTTGTAGCTGAATATGCTGGAGTGAGACATTCCACGTGGTGTATAATGTATGATCGTACTCCATTAATTCTGGGCTCTCTTCCTGTAGGCGTAACCATGCTTTTTCATATATCTCAAGGTACTCCCTGCAGCTGGTTACCACTTGGTACAGGTAAGCCCCAGCTGTTGCGAGGGCGAGTGGAAGACCATCGAGCTTCTTTGCAAGTACTGTGGCGTCGGGATCTACATGCCGTTAGCTTATCGCACATAAAAGGCTTTCCAGCTTTACCTTTGCCAAGATCAGTGCGGCCAGATGTAGACGCTAGGATCGCCAGACTGTCCTCGAGGTCGGCTAGCTTCCTGAGCTGGACGCGCTGTCCAAGCTTCACAGATGACGAGCGTGTCGTGATGAGGATAGCGCCGTGTTCTGTATCAGGAAAAAAAGGGCGTATGTCGTAGGCTTTCGAGCCTGTCTCGCTAGCATTATTCTCGTTCCCTACTTGCAAACCAGTCTCGTTCTCACCAGGACCACCACGATTGTGAAGTTTGACGTCATCGTAGTTGTCAAAGATCATCAGCCAACGATTGTTCTTTGGTTCATCTAACCATTGCTTGACTGCACTGACTGTCTCATCGAGGTCTCGACTAGAAAGGGCGTTGTTGATATATGTCACGGACGAGGTCTCTGTTGCAATTCGCTGGGCTAGGCCTTGGTAGCTCAGCTTGAGCGCTGTCTTGTCTCTCGCATCAAGCCAAAAAACCGCCGAGTAATCATCGCGACGTTTCTTCGCGAATGCGATCGTCGTCTGAGTTTTGCCCATGCCACCCAGGCCATGCAGAATAACCGTTCGACGGTCTCCAGTCCACTTCAGTTCGTTATAGAGACGCCCGAGTTCTTCTTCTCTGGCTACAAAGTGGTTCACGCTGTGAACTCCTGGCAGCTTGAAGGGGAGTATGAATGAAGGAGAAGCTGTCTGTCTTGCATTGCTGGAGCACCTGGTTGGATGTATTAGCTACTAATACTATTGACCATTATGTGCAATCTGATAAATCCTCTTACCGCTGCACTCCATCTACAGGCAGGTGGAAGAAGAGCTGTCGAGCATACGCTGCTGCCACAGCTGCCGCGTACCCGTGCCACATGTCGTTCTTATGCGAGTCGCAGTAGTCCGAGATGCCGCGCACAACAAGGCAAGGAAAGTCGGCAATTGCCCCAGCAGCCTCCATCTCAAAGCATAAAAGCTCATCCTGCTGAGCTAGTATGTCCCTCAGCAACGCATCCTTCACCACCATCTCTCCAGATGCGATATTGCCTCTGTGCACAACAACAAACGTGTCGTCATCATCGCTCGTTCGAGGTATACGCTTCGATAGGTCGCACTTGGTGTTGCATGATCCTTGACGATGGTGCTCGTAATGTGGTGGGAAAAGATGATCGTTTTGCTCGCCGGGATACTGGTACCGTCGAAGCCTACGACGCGTTATGTCGATTCGACGGACGTCGTGCTGCACCGGATCGACATCCAGCCTTGCCCGCTGCACTGCTAGCGCCTGCGCAGCATTGAGAAGAACTGCCGGTGGTGGTGCCAGGGCACCTGTCCGCTCAAAGGAACCGTTTCTCGCTTTTCCATGATCGTACTGTAGAGCGCCGGAGTGTCCACCCGCAGGCTTGCTCACAACCACATGACCCAGTCGTATCATCCCATTATCCGTCTGAACGGGAACTCCACCACCAATACCGACCAAGAGACCAAAGCGTAAGTTGGGAAACGTCATCCTCATCTGCGCCACAACCGTAGCTGCGGGGCAGTTGCCAGGCTGGTGCAGACCTGCGATAACAACATTATGGCCGTTGATGGTCCCAAGGCTATACACGTTGTGGTCTGCTGGGGGCTTCGGAAGTGCGGGATGTTCCTCGTCCAGCATCTCCATCGCTGCGATCTGCTCCACCTCCAGCGGACAGATCCATGCCACCTTGTAGTCGTCGCGGCTCCGTTCCTGCGACATCTTCGGTCGGTCGCCTGGAGTCTTGGATCGGTCGGACGAGAGTAGGTTGCGGTAGTACGGATCGTCCGGAGCGTCAGAAGCGGCAGGAATGAAACTAGGCCGTCAGGTTGATCTGTGGAAATGGAGACCTAACGTTCAAAGTCGTCGCTCAGGTAAGTCATCAATTGCGAGAGGGGATATCCCTCTTGCCGCCAGCCTTGTGCGGCTGTGTGCTGTGCCGCGGGCGAATCATGGTGGAAGAAACTGCCAAGTCCCGCAACTGTTAGCATGCACTTTTGGACGCGCTCGCGGTGATGTACTCCACTCCATTGCTCGGTCGATGAGAGATGCCCGTTGCAGTCGGCAGGCTGTGAAGGGGCGAGTGAGTTCTTGATCACCCAAAACTTCAAAATCACGTTCCTTTGGTCCAGATCAAGATTTTGCAAACTCGAAAAGAATACCTGCTAAAAGAGCTCCACATAAGTCTATCCCTGTAATTACGCCAGAACAGCAGTTTTATTCTCCACAACAGAGCTCCTAACGGCTCAAGAATCATGGCACGTTCCGGAACT